TTTCAGGTGAGTGGGGTAATTTTACCTAATGTTGGTTTGTGCATCTTTCAATTTTCAATCCACAATTTTTTTCAATACAATTGGAGTTACTTGGTAATCTGTCTTCGTTATTTGTTGGTTTTGTTTTGTTTTCTTATTTGTTTTGTTTATTACTGTATTTACTGTATTTATTAAAGTCCTGTAATTTTTTTGTTATGGTAATAAAAAACATTTATCAAAAAAAAAAGCTTGGATGAGAGTATCAGACATTTGAATGTCAATACTGTGAGGTCATCACAATGCATTGTAATGTGAACAGCATTGAGCTATTTAAATTACCTTATCAACTACTTCTACTTTTGCTCCTTTAGACAACAATGCCTCAACTGATTTATTATTGCCTTTTTCTGCTGCATAGTGAAGTGGAGTCTTGTTGTCCTGAAACAAATATAATACTATGTTAAATGACACAAATACAGTCTAGAGTAAACTTTCAAACCATACAACCTACCCAACATAATTCACTTACACGATATGTAAATAGTAGAAACATGAATGTGTGAATGTGAACAGTATTGAGCTACATAAATTACCTTATCAACTACTTCTACATTTGCCCCTGCTGACAACAATGTCTCAACTGATTTATTATTGCCCTTTTCTGCTGCATAGTGAAGTGGAGTCTTGTTGTCCTGAAACAAATATAATATTGTGTTAAATGACACAAGTACAGTGCAGAGAAAACTTTCAGACCATACAAGTAGGCCTGACATAATTCATTGATGCGATATGTAATTGGCACCAAAGCATGAATTTAAAAACTATATTTCCAATTACCATAATAACCATATCTACTTTAGCCACTGCTGACACCAATGCTATAATTGATTCAGAACAATAATGTTCTACTGCATATTGAAGTGGAGTCTTGAATAATACATTGACAGTGTTTAAACTTTTCAACAATAAGCTGAAGCTGCATTATTATATGGGAGCAGAGGTACATTACTTGGGGTTTGCAACGCGCATAGTACTGTATGGTGACATCATGTCAAGATCCCATTCAAGTCTCATCTCGTAGATAGCGAGACTGACGCTACGACCTTCTGACATGAAATAGGCGGTTTATAATAATCAATAAAACATGTATTACCACATTCATAGTGAAAAAATGTAATACATCGAAAATGTACAGAAAATATAGTTATCGTAATCAGTCATATCGTGAGCAGCTATTTTGATCCACCTGGACATCTCAGTATCCTAGTTACCTCGAGAGCGAGATGAAACGGGATCTTGGTATCATGTCACCGTAGTTGCAAACCCCCAAGTAATGTACCTCTGATGGGAGAAATGATTTTATGATGTCATTGTGATATATACAGGTAACATATTACTTTGGCTTTGCACATTTTTGAAAACCATTCAGCCTTACAATTCGCACCACAATTATGAATTTGTAATCAAAAATGGCAGGCTACAAATTATTTGATCAGTAACGCATACCTTGGCTCCTACTAACACCAATACTACAACTGATTTATCTGACAATTTTGATGTGTTCTGATGAGCAGTGACTCAGAAAGATTTGTATTGATTTGAACAGCCATATCTGCAGCAATTCAGAACTAGAACTAATTAGCCTTGCACATATTCGTTGTTTCGTTGAGAACACAGGGCACATGAGATCGAAAGTTATATTAATAAATTATAAATAAATCATATATTCATCTGTATTTAAATCATAATTGAATGAGAAATATATATCCTCCTTCCACTGAATACCACCAAATGATGTTATTTCTTCAGAATATTCAAATCAAGGACTGATTATTTTGTAAATAGTTGCACAAATTCCTATAATCTCATATTGTTTATATCATTCAATTCGATTGACGTGTGCACATCTCCAGTATTGACTGTTATTGTGTTGATGTTGATGACTATTAAAAATGTCCCACTATGAAATATTTCTTGGGAATATATTTTAATTTTCTTTTATTTTCTATTCTCTAATGTTTTTTCCCTGACATATATTTAGATTTTGGGATATAATAATAAACAAATTTGTAAATTTATTGATGATTTACATTGTAACCAGGAGCTTGCACAAGTAACTATTGGCCACTATTGATAACACAGCCACAGACAGTGTTGTGGTCATGGCCAAATTGACTTACTTTCAGTCAATCATGGATTGTGTGACAATGTATAATTGTGAAATGTACTGTTTTGAACAAAGTATATTTAGCGATTGGAAAGGATGGTTACTGATGTATCCCAGACAACAAACGAATTTTTATTTTTACATTTAATGTTGAATAAAAATCAAAATACTGATCGATTTGTTTGGGTTGTCTACCCTCATGTGATTGTAGATAAGCTACTGATTTGACTTGGCCTTCACATATAAAACATCTACATATAACATATATCTGACAGTTGATAATCATGTCATAATTACGGTTAGTTTGTAGTGATTTTGCGGCTAGGAATTTAAAATACACGTAAATTTGGGTAGCAACTACAAGCGTTCTACACTCCTGAAAGGAGGTGTTTAAGCATCTATTGTACTCATACTTTGTTTTCAATTCACTATAATATATCTAAAATAGCATTTACAAAGTCAATAAATTTGTCAGTGATTTTGAGTGGTGATATTTAAAATAAAACTGCATTGTATACGATATAATAAATTCGTTCATGTAATTTAGTTATTGAACTGGTCTGACTATTGTCAGAAAAGAGAGATTTCTGTTATCGATTGCATTTTAATTAAAAAAACTCACACAGATACTTTATTTGGTACTGACAAAATGTTCATCAATATCAATATCATTATCAATATCAATATTTTAGACATACTTTTTGTTTTGCGATCACGTAAAAAGTGACTGACGTCAATCTGGTGACAAATGCTCACTGTACAACACCTATTCGGTTGGACTGCAGATGTATTTTTCTTTATAAGTACAAAATTTATCTTTTTCAAATTGAAACACATAATTCATTTACACAATATGTAAATAATAGAAACATGAATTTGTAACATGAACAGTATTGAACTACTTAAATTACCTTATCAACTATGTCTAATTTAGCCCCTGCTGATAACAATGCCTCAACTGATTTAGTATGACCATACTCAACTGCATAATGTAGTTGAGACTTGTTGTCCTGAAACAAAATAACAGGTTGAATAGCGAAAATATGAAATAGAGAATACTATAAGACTGTACAAGCTAAACATAATTTGTACAGTGATCCAAGAGGTAATTAGAAACACATGTGTGAATTTGCAAAATAAACAAGGTTGGGCAATTATTACCTTATCAACTCTGTCTATGACTTCTGTTGACAAAAATACATCCACTGAATCTTTATGATCATTTTCTAATACACATAAAAGTGGAGTCTTCTTGTACTAAAACGAATAATAATTGTGTGTTAAATGGCACAAATGTTGTGTAAATTGTGAAATATCTAAACTATTTTTGTATTATGCTTTGAAAAAACTACAATTGCTAACACAAACATAAATTTGTAATCAAATAATCTCATGCTAAAGTAAATAAAACAGAAAATTGACTAATCATTATGCAAATTAGGTAATTAATATGCATTTATCTTTACTCAAAACTAATCAAATCTTTGCATTAGTCCAGAGCATCCATATACTAAGTTTCATCAAAAACAGCGCACAGTTCTTGAGATATCAGTGGAACGAACAGACACACACCCACACACACACCCACACCCCCCCCACACACACACACACGAGTCAACAAGTTATTAACATGGACCATGTCGGACAATCACTCATATGATAAGCTCCGCTCGATAAAGTTTACACCGGAGCTAAAAATCTGACAGAGGTCCACCCAAAGAATCTATATACCAAGTATCAACACAATTGAGCAGGTATTCTCCAAGAAGATAGATATAAAACTTTTTACCAAAAATAACAAAAAACATTCATCAAAATTAGAGAATTGAAGACATACATGGCACATCTATATGAGTGTTGCATGTATATCTCACAAAATATTGCGATATATCTGCCTCACCACATATCAATACAAGCGTTAATCATACCTCACTAAATATTTTCATATAGACAGTATATCTATATGTGAACTTTATGTTTATGGTTGCAGTGATATGTTACTAAATATTGTAAATAACACCAATCAAATACTAATATACGATTTGTAATCATATTTAACAGAATATGGTGATATATATATATATATATATATATATATATATATATATATATATATATATATATATATATATATATATATATATCAATGTTAAAGTTATAGCAAACACATATTCAGATATATATTAATCTAAAATTCATATGTGTAATACTGACACATCACATAAACATCACAGTATGGATCACTTGAGTATTAATGACCGCATTGAACAAAGTAAAATGTGCCCATATAAGTCTTGTGTCACACTCATATGAGGAATTTAGTAAGCAATGAAATCATGCATAGCAATGTGTTTTAACCACATACTATAATTCTAGATTACTATTTGGTGGCCATACCAGTTAGCATGAAATAGACAATGCAATGAAAACAAATATCAAATGAATAATGATTATTGGATACGGATATGTAAGAGAGTGAAGGTGGATTATTGAGATGATACTCATTAAAAGGATTGTTACATTATAATATTACCATGTGTATGTGGAGGCAGTAATGGTTGAAAGAGACAATGATTGTGTAATGTCATGTTTCTGTATGTCATTACTGCACATTGTATAAACAAAGTTTTAAATGTTGATTCTTTTAAAGTAAGAGATGAACTTAGAATCTGTATAAAGTAGTATGAAAATAAAATCAACATGACAATACTAACATTTTAAACCCAAATACAAAAATGACATCAGTATTTAAACCAATCACACCTGTCTGAAAAACATGTTTATATTTTGTCATACCACGTTGTGTTGATATGGGTCCCATGCAACGCATGTAAAATAAATTCATTGTTTACCCGAAATGTGATCTAAATAGCATTTTATAGCAGGCTGGTATGATATACTGAAGTCTGAATTCGATTTTATAAAGTCTGCAATATGTAAATTTTCAGTAACCAAATATTTAGGTGTGAGACTAATAAAGCAATAAATCCCAATATCTATCAAGATTCCTGTCACTATGAGGTAATTACAATGACATCACAAAGTGCAGATATGAGGTATACGGTTTGACCATTATAAAAAGAGGGATACATCTTTGGTGGATTGTGCCCAATATATACAATACGAGTCACGCATTTATATTAAATTCTAAAAAACATACTTTTGTATTTAAAAAAAAATTATTTGAAAAAAAAGTACATTTATATAGAAAAGATATACAGTAACATTCTTTGAAAGTACATTTACTTTTTCAAAATCCTTATTTCTACTCAGGTGATTTATTATGCTGTTTTCGTATTCATCATAGAGGGCGCTATTGTAATAACAGAAAATGAGTATTGTTCAACAAAATTAAGGCAGAAAAAGACCTGCTTTAAAACTGATTTAGGTTATGTTTCATTTTGCTGACCATAGCATGCCGACTCTCTTATAACAGCAACTTTTCAATAGAATATACTGTAATCAACATTCAGTTTTAAAATCTTGTATACATGAGACAATTCATAGGGCAATGAACAGAGCAACACAAGAGACAATGGACACACAGGCAACTAACTAACTGTGGCAATGGGAAACTATTTGATTGAAAACTTTTTTCATCAGGTGATGTTGCCTGACCCATATTTGCGAATATCTCAACTCATGTCCATTGAATTTTGTCTATATTATGATAAACATGACTTTATTATATATTATATTTTTGAACAGTACCGGGCATGTATGTCCATGTACAATTTTCAAAAATGTCACCCAATACAGGTCTGGTTTCCTAACAAATTTTATCAGCGAGGTATCATTTGACAACTTTGCACAGTATAATTAAGGTACATGTTTTGACATTTTTATATTTAGATGGACTATCATCATTTTTGACAATTTTACTTAACCACTGGCCTTACACAAGTATACACATACTGATACAGGTACTACTTTTATAATGTATAAAAAAACTGCAATGTTGTAAGTGCTATGATTTAAATCTTCTGAAACAAACCACAAACATTTCCCTATTATACCATACATGGCGCACTTCACCAGTTTGCAAAATTCGAGAACAAATGTGCGAGGCACAGGTCTCACACTGACACGCTTGATGACAAGCAAACCCTATTTGTTAGACTAAATGGAATCAAAAAATACTTAGAAAGAACTTTGGTGTACTGAAAGTATTGGCGCATGAAGTTAGCACATGTGCTTCTATTAGAGCAAATACACCATTAACAAATATAACTGCAAGCAATGATCTGGGGGGCGGTTAAGTAGCTACAAAATTATAGCACCAGTTGTATGTCCCTATCTGCTACAGTACTATTAAAAGCAAAACAAATCATTGATTTTCTACTGTGCCACTGGGTCCACGACAAAGAGGAAGTTAAAAATTGCTGAACTTGTTTCCATGGAAACAATTAGTGTTTCCTTGTGATATTGAATCTTATACTGGCGGCCATATTGAATTGAAAATTGGTCCAAATACATACAATTTTATGTTCAGTATTCAGTTCACTCAAGTTTTTTTTTGGAATAGACAGTAGCAGGAAATAGTTAAACAAGGAAATTCCAGTGTGAACATGTGTTAGCCATACTCAT